CTGCCACTTTCATATTACAGTAAACCATTGTTTTCTTGAGTAGAATACAGAAGCTGGGACAGTGTTATACTTAACATGGCATAATAGTCATAAGACATATCCTGTGCTTTACTATAGCATCAGTTTGGTCTGCATAGAAGAGATCAGTGGCAAATTAAATACTTGGATTTGGTTTTCAGTGGAGTGTGAATAGTTGTTAACCCTCAAGGCCCCTTTGCAGGTTAAGGGATTAAAAAAGCTGGGAAAACAGGGCTAGAGGAGAGGAGGTGTTAATTCTTCCTCCTCCCTCCAGTACTATAAATCTGGCCCAATTGTCTCCTTACACCTGCTTTTAAATGAAGTTAAAAATGTCAGAGACCCCTTACAATGACCAGTGTGGTGCTCTGCTTCTGCCAGTAGCAAAACACCATCTGAGTGCATTGATTCTCATGACATTCCAACATTGTTCCCCAATGTTCCATGCCTACAATGTTCATTGGGTAGAATCGCCAACTAATTTTGAGAGGGTTTTCTTTGGTATCCCGTTGTTCATCTTATGCTAACATTGTTCCAACATTTATACACATAACATGAGACAGGCATGATAATGGTTGGGGTGTATTTGCAAGTGCCCTTAAAATGAGCACTGTTGAATGGTAAAGCTACTAAGTATAGTAAAAGGGAAAAAAGCCAGAACAAGTTTTATTCCACTCCTGTTATGATTACAAGTAGTCCTCAACTTACGACCACAGTTGGGACCAGAACTTCTGTCACTAAGTGATGCAATCTTTAAGTGAGTCGCACCCAATTTTACGACCTTTTTTGCCGCAGTCATTAAACAAGTCACATGGTCATTAAGCAAATCTGGCTTCCCCCACTGACTTTGTTTGTCAGAAGCCCCCTGGGAAGGTCGCAAATGATGATCATGTGACCCTGGGATGCTGCAAGAGTTGTAAGTGTGAGGACCGGTCATAAGTCACTTTTTTCATCACTGTTGTAACTTTGAACGATCATTAAACAAATAGTTGTAAATCAAGGACTACCTGTCAATATAATAGCTTCTCCTAACTACTTTATGGGAAAAATAATTTTGCTAAGGAATTTTTCCAGGCAAACAAATACATTTCTATATTCACTATATTCTGGTGAACTGATGAAGGTGAAGTCCATATTTGCTCACTTCTCCTGGAACAGATGAGTCAATAAAACATGCCATTTTTTCTATCTCAAAATAATCTTTGATAGAATTAGTGGACTTTTTTTCCTCTAGCAGGTGTTACTTTGCAAAACACATTAGAAGTTGTTCTTGCTGATGAATCTAAATCTATTTACAAATAATTTCTCATCAAAACTGTCTCTGGGTTCTGTGTGATAGTATGGGAGAATATTTTTATAATGTTGCCCAGCAAGCTATACTGCAAAAATCAGGAATACAGTTATGTATTATTTCTGCAGCATTCTCTGAACAAGCTGACTTCTGCAATTTGCCCAGTAAGCTGACTCTCTTGAGCTCATTCCAAATTGTCTCAGGTTGTGAAAATCTAGAAGTTGGGTGGGGACAGAGAAGGAAAAAGAATGGCTGACAAATCATTTACCATTTTTGCTTAAAGGGGAGGGGGGAAACACTTTGAGCTTAGTATCTAAACCAGCTTCAGACCTCCATCTGCCTTTGCTAAGCAAAATTCAGGGTAATAGTTGGCCTTGTGTCCATATGATTTACTTAGAAGAAAAGTGAAACATTAAAACTTATATAGAAATTGTAATGCATATAAATGGCGTACTTAATGTCAGCAATGGGAGAAAGTGTATGGATTTATTACACAAAGCAGATAGTCTATGATTCTGAATTGGATTGAATCATGGCCACACTCAAAACACTGTAATGACTCACTTCTGTCTTTATTGGTAGCTTTGGCAGAAAAAGAAAGAACTTGAAATAGTAAAAATTAGATGAATAAATTATTCCAAAATCTATTTTAGGACAATATGTCTATGGCCAACAAATTGTCGCCAAATAATATGCAAGCTTTTGAGGTCTTCAGAATTTGTGATCGGTTTAGAAAGTTAAAAAAAAACACAACACGACCAGCATCTGGCAGAGCTTAATTTGAATGTCTGTTGCCTCCCATATTCTGCCTTATAACTAAGCACAGACATTGTGGCACCAACAGGCACCTGATTTCCTATCCTTATCCCATTCCCTACTTTATTTATTACCCAGCTGATGAAGAGTCCTAGAGGAATTGCAGTGAAATTTGAACCAATGGAATAATATGTATTCTGCAGCATGGAACCACTGTTTAAAGATTAGAAAGGAACACCCTCACATGCAGTGTACAACAATCACCTTCGTTTTTCCAAAGCCTGATTCATATCTCCATCTATATTGTTAGCTTCTTTTCAGTGCTGGTTTGACTTATTTTCCATTCTCTTCTGCTGAAGTTTTGGTTTGAAGAATGCCTCCCTCACCTATATTCATTCATATACAGGTAGTCCCCAGTTTAAGAACAAGTTTCTTTCCCAAGGTCTGTCCTTAACTCGAATTTGTACATAAGCCAGAACAGTATTATCGTATAATACTGTATAAGAAGTATTGTGTAATGAACTCAAACCATTGTGTATTTAACTTGAAT